ACACTCCTGTCCCTGCCAAGGACTGCTTTCCTGCAAAAATTCCAAAATGTTGCTGGCATAGATCTTGTAACAGAATTCAGAACTTGATTTATCTTTTGTGAAATTAAGGGGGTATGCAGAGGGAGGGTGGGAGAGGGAAAGACACACAGTAATGTATTTGCAAAAGGGAGGAGAAAAGCTTTTCACCAGGGCAGCCTTCTGACAAACAAAGGCATTTAAGAATCAGGAAGTAAGAAGCCAAAGATATCGGGGAAAGTCAAATCAAAGACATTTCAGGTCACTTTGTCCACAGCTGTGCAAAATGGCAGCTATTTACACGATCCTCGTGCTTTTCCTGGCAGTTTTTGTTGCTGGATTGATACTGTTGGTCATGGCGGCATTTAATTTTGATTTCTCCAACTCTGAAATTCCTCCCGGAGTGAATGAACCTGTGAAGCTTCGAATCACTCACGTTATTTTGATAAGCACAGCTGTGGTGGTAAGTTAACCTTGTGTGACTGTGATGGGAGAATGGTGAACCTGAATGCAAGGCTAGAACTTTGCCATGCAAGGCATAGCTGGCATGCTGCAAGTTGCATCTAGAGCTCAGTTTTGCTAAAGAAACCTTTATCAGATTCTTCACACTGCACTACCTCATTACAGAGATTATGCCCAGCTCTTACATGAGGCAGTACACAAGCACTGCCTAACACAGGGGTTAGAGAGCCTGACTGTGCCTCTAATGTGAACTGTGCTAACCTAGCATAAAGTAGAAGAATACTTAGTAGAAATGAAATAGAAGCTGTTTCCATTCAGGGCTCAGAATGTAGCCAGTGTCCTTGGAGGCATGCTTTCAAGCTTTGCTTGTGCTTGGGAGTGAAGGGTTTTGTGTTTGTTTTGAAGATAAAATTACAGACTGAACTACTGGTTTGGGGAAAGGGTTTGATCTTTGTGAAACAAGTGACAAAACTGGGGGAGGTCGCCCAAGAGGGGCTGAAAGAATTCCATCTCCCCACATATTTGTAACTTACGAGCAGCTAAGCAAGCTTGTTTGGATGGGATCAAAGAGCAAACAAGGGCTTAGGCTGTTAGCAGCACCCGATTTCTGGTTGGTTGTGCTGACAAAGGATCTCACTGAACCAAGAATGATAGAGGTAATGATAGATGCTAACAGGGACGTTAAGAATATGTGAGAAGTCGTGCACGCACTCAATAAATTACTTAAGCACCTCCGAGAGCGACAAATTACTTAAGATGAAATAAATATATTTGTATATGTATATTTCTCAGTTAGGAATATTCCTGATTGTAGTGGACAGTACTAAAGAACTCCAGCATGTGTGTTCTCATAGTTCAGTACAAGATATAATCAGAAAGACTTCAGTTAAGCACCTGGAAAAGCCAGTTCTCCTTTTGTCACCTGCCCACTGGTCCCATAAACCAGAACTGTGTGCTGCAATGGAACACAGTATAAAAAAAAACAAACAGGGTCAATATTGAGGTGAGAACAACTCCGTAGTTGTTCCATTTCTATTTGGAGGACAGCAAATACACTAACAGAAATAATTTCATCCATTGCCCACGCAGTTCCTTTGCACTGAAAAATACAGAATCTTCTGAGTGAATTCCCTATTTTTTTGTGTGTGTGTTTGAACAGGGAAAGATTTTGGAAAAGATTGGCATCTGTAGCCAGATCAGCTTTGTTCGGTACATGCAAGGCATTAAGGCTCTGGGAGCAGACCAGAAGCTCCTCATTGAGGACCTGTGCTTTGAGAAAGTGTCTGTAAGGATTTACCAGCCCAAGGCTCCATCTGCCAGCCCAAGGAGAGGAGTAATGTTTTTCCATGGAGGAGGATGGGTGTTTGGAAGTGTTGGTAAGATGTCTAACAGAAGAAATTATTGTAATTTAGTTTAAAAAGCAGCTTCCACATCAATGGTAAGGTTGCTAGTTGCTTAACCTGTAGCTGTTATGAAATTTGAGTATAACCACAGATGCACTCTTCTAAGTCTTGCTGTAATATCTGCCATGCTTCACGTGATTTTTCCTAAAGAAAGACAATGAGATACGAGGGGAAAGCACCAAACATAACGAAAAGAGACGATCAGAGGGCAAAAAAGATCTGCAGAGCTGTGCAGGGAGAAGCACAGAAAAGGCGTGCTTCTTCCTTGCAATTCACTGCCTTAAGTAATGACAGCATTAGAACTCTTGATGAAAAAAAGCCCCACGAACAACAAAACACAAACAAAAGCAACCAAAGAATAACACAACAGAAACCCCACATGAAAACGTTTCTTTCAGAGACCCATGAAAGCCTGTGCCGCTCTCTTGCCCGAGGAAGTGACTCGGTGGTTGTGTCTGTTGGGTGAGTTTTTCCTCATGCCATTTTTAAGGATTATTTTCCATACTGTGAATGACACCTTACAGCCTCCATGACCATGGTGACAGCTGTAACCAGAGAAATATTTCTGTGGGATGCGTGATTTTACAAATTTGCACTGCTTTCATTTGGAGCCATTTAAGACTGACTCGGGATTTTATTGCCTGATTAAATCGAATAACACTTCTGGGTATCTAACTGGAAAAAGTAGGACATGTTCCTAATTCCCATCTAGAAATTGATAGTAAACAGAGAGTAACTCCAGTATTCTATTTAATCCTCACTCAAAGAAACTACTTGATGCTTACAGGAGCATTACATGAATGACAAGCTAATATTATCATCATTATATTGACAACTACTTGGATGATGAGTACTAATGAACATACAGAAAGGAAATAGTGCAATCTGACACATGGAAAGCATGAAATGATTAAGGGTCAGTCCATAGAACCTGGACGTAGATAGCAGCTGAGTACTCCTGAGTTGTTCAAGACCTGAGCAATGCCATAAACAGACAGTGACCCAACACAGTCAGCCTCCACCACCTGGCCTTGCTAGTCACAAGCTGCTTTATGACAACCCATGGAGAAATGGAAAGGTAATCGTGGTATTGCTGGTGGCTAGAACTGCTATTTTCAGCATTGCGTTTAACATCAGCATCATTCCTTTTCCTACTTTTGTTGTCTCCTTCCGTGCATTAGGTATCGTTTAGCTCCTGAGCACAAATACCCTGCTGCATATGAAGACTGCCTTCATGCTTCCATACACTTCATGAGGAATGCAGAGCACTATGGGGTGGATCCTGCCCAGATCAGTGTCTGTGGGGACAGTGCTGGGGGCAATCTAGCTGCTGCTGTTAGCCAGACCCTGGCAGGCAGAGCAGACCTCCCCAGGCTGCGTGCTCAGATCCTGATCTACCCAATACTGCAGGCACTGGACTTCAATTTGCCATCCTATAAGCAAAATCAGGCAGTCCCTCTCTTATTCCAAGAACGCGCTGCTTTCTATGTGTTACAATACCTGAACGGGAACGCCTCAAATCTGGAACAAGTCCTGGAGGGTTCACACATCCCTATAGATATCCGACTAAATTATAGGAAGTGGGTGAGTGAAGATTACATCCCTGAGAGGTTTAAAGTCAGGGGCTACAAGCCAGATGTGTTACTGGACTGTTCAACTGAGGTTTATGAGACGGTGAAGCGATTCTGTGAGCCCAACCTGTGCCCCCTGCTAGCTGAAGATGCTGTTGTTCACCAGCTGCCCGAGTCCTTCATCTTGACTTGTGAATATGATGTGCTGAGGGATGATGGCTTGCTGTACAAGAAGAGGTTGGAGGACAACGGAGTCCAAGTGACCTGGTGCCACCTCGAGGATGGGTTCCATGGAATCATCAACTCATTTAATAGTGAATGGATGTCGTTTTCATCTGGAAAAAGAGGTCTGGACAGTATTGTGAACTTCCTAAAAAGTTTATAGAGACAAATTCTTCTATTCCTTCCAATAAAATTACTGTTTTTCTTTGAGTCTCTTATGTTTCTGAATTCCATCAGAGGACAAGAGTTAAAGAGCAATTATGTTAAAGAGCAATTATGACATTAAGACTACTGAAAAAGGACATTTTGAAAAGAAAAAATGGTGATAGTTTCTTCCAGCACTGTTTCATGTGCAGTCTGCCTGTTTTAATGATCTATTTCAGTGAGGCACTTGCTGCTCTCTCAGTAAATATTAAAGATGCTGTAAAATTTTAAATCAACATCTGGTGTTGCCCATTTTATTCACTTACAATCCGTGGTTTCACTCTTCCCAGAAGACTAAATGTGTTCTGGCAAAGGAGAAAGGTACTGATATTACAGTCCAATGACGTATTGCCTTTACTATATGGTATACGTGCAGTATCTGAGCCTAAATGTCCCAGCCACCAAGTTCCATAATGTCTCTATGGGCGAAGTGTAGCTCAGTGATATTTCACACCTGGATCAATGGAATCAGAATTGCAGCAATCCTTGACAGAGCTACTTTGAACGGCTTTGTGCAGATTGCAGTGGAGATGCTCTACGTGGGTTTCTACATCTATCAAACATGAGTAAGCTGAAAAACTTGTTCCTGCATTTAAATACTCCAACAACAAAATAAGGCCAACGCATTTATGTTTGTGAAGCTCGTACTAGCAGCTTTTTCCTTTACAAATGCCCTTGCTAATACCGTATATTCCAAGCTACTCAAAGAAGGTCTGTAGCACAGGAAGGAGTATGCTGTGGCTGCAGATCATATGCAAGAGCTGATTTAACCTCCACGCTAGTTGGCTCACTCTTCATCTAAATAGCAACACATCACGAAGTAGGACTTCACTAATTAACTGCTCTCTCTGAACAGCTGATCCTATCATCCGCAATCCAAGAGTGCCATGTCGGATACCAGTCCCTGTATCAATCCCACAATTATTGAGCAGCTAAACAGGAAATCAGACACATTCTCTTCTGTCCTTTTTCCGATGTGATGCATGCTGGCACCTTGCACAACGTTTCCAAGGATTTTTAAGCGTGGCACCTGAGAGAAGTGTTTTAATTTGGGCTGCTCCATCGGTCCTTGCCATCTGCATCAAAGACAGGTGTAGAAACAGCCCACCTTCAGCTAAGTGAAATGGAACTTTTTTATGTCCTGTTAGTGGTACTGCTGGTGGTTTTTACTGCCTCATTCACATTAGCAATTATAAGAACGCTTCAAGTGGACTTTCCCAACGTCCACATCCCTCCTGGAGTGGATCAACCTGGAAAGCTTCGTGTTGTCCATGCACATATGGTTTTTACATCTGCTGTGGTGAGTTGCTTTGCCATGATTTCTGACAGAAGTGAGCTTTACGTGTTATTTTCTGTTAGGTTATATGTGTAAATATATACATATATATATTAAAATGTTTATATGTGTGTAAATATATATCTAGGGTTGTTGAGGCAATCCCAGATATGAATTCAGAGTGGGAAAAGAACTCATTGAGAGCAGCCCTAGGGAGAAGGAAGGACTTGGAGGTCCTGATGGGTGAAAAACTGAACATAAGCCAGTAGTGTGCACTTGCAGCCCAGAAGGCCATCTGTATCCTGGGCTGCAGGAAAAGAAAAGTGACCTACAGGGAAAGGCGGGGGATTGTCTCCCTCTGCTCTGCCATTGTGAGGCCCCAATTGCAGTTCTGCATCCAGCACAGCACAGGAGGGATGTGGGACTATTGGAGCAGGTCCAGAGGAGGGCTGTGAGGATGCTCAGGCTGGAGCACCTCTCCTATGGAGAAAGGCTGGGGACATGGGCTTGTTCAGCCTGGAGAAGAGAAGGCTCTGGGGAGATCTCAATGCAGCCTTCCAGTACTTGAAGAAAGCTTAAAAGCAGGAGGTGGACTGAATTTTTACATGATCTGACAGTGATAGGACAAGGGGGGATGTTTCTCAACTATAGAGGGGTGATTTAGGTTCGATGTTAGGTAGAAATTCCAGAGAGCTGTGGGTGTCCCATCCCTGGAGATGCCCAAGGCCATGCATGGGTCCTGGGCAGCCTGAGCTGGTGGGGGGCACCCAGCCCTTGGCAGGGGTTGGAACTGGGTGATCTTTAAGGTCGCTTCCAAGTCATTCTACGAGTCTATGAAATGCCAGAATCCTGTTGGCTGCATTAACACTTCAATGAAGGGTTTCCTTTCCTTCCTTTTTTTGGTTGACTTCAGAGGATGTTTTTTGTCAGATCCTTTCTATCAGACCTCAGATATCTCCATCTCTGATGGGATTGCCTACCATGTCAGGATGAAGCCATCTGTGAGAGCCCAAACCGAGCACATCTTCCCTCACTCCATTTAAATGAAAGATTTATGAACAGCAAGATGGCTTTGGCTGCACTTTAGCTAAGCACAGATGATGTTTTCAGGCCATTCACTGGGCTTTCCAGCCACACTGGTGGGAGATTGGGTGCTTTTAAAGCTGATCAGGTGGCACCTCTTGGGAAAACCTCGGAACACAACATCTGCACAGGGCATCCTCTCCTGTGTCTGCATGCCCCTTGTGGCTCCCTCACAGCCTGCCCCTTCCTCCAAACAGGGCAAGATCTTGGAGAAGATGGGAGTGTGCACAGAGATCACCTTCACCCGCTACATGCGCTCAGGGAAGAAGCGGGGCCCGGAGCCGCAGCTGTGCCTGCAGGACATGCGCTTTGACGGAGTGCCGGTGCGGCTCTACCTGCCCCGTGTGCCATCTGCTGCCCTGAGGCCTGCCACCATCTTCTTCCACGGCGGCGGGTGGATTTACTGCAGCATCGGTAGGGAGGGAGAATTCTGCCCGGACAGCTGGGAGAAGGGATGGAACGGCCCCAGTTTCGGGCAGCGAGGGGCTCTGGGCTGCCTCACAGGGAAGTGATACGGATGAGGGGGCAGAGGGAGAAATGGAGGTGAAGGGCGTGAAGGGCAGAGATGGACAGAGCTGTGCACCTAGATGGGAGCAGGCAGCCCACGCAACCTTTTCTTGCAGATTCCCATGACAACATCTGCCGTTACATCGCCAGAGAGAGCGGCTCCGTGGTTGTGTCTGTTGGGTGAGTTAGGTCCGCACTGCCCAGGGTAGTGGGTGATTTCCCCTTCCCTCCCTTCCCCTCTCCTGCCCTCCCCTCCCCCCCTTCCTCCTCTCTCCCCCTTCCCTCCATTCCCCCTCCCTACCTCTCTCCTTCTTTCCTTCCTTCCTTCCTTCCTTCCTGCCTGCCTGCCTGCCTGCCTGCCTGCCTTCCTTGTTCTTCCTTTCCTTCTCTCCCCTTCCTTCCTTTCCCTTCCTTCCTTCTCTTTTCTTCCCTCCAAACACCAGAATTCTCAAGGGAAATATCCTAAGTGAAGGTGAGGTGCAGGCTGACTGAATTCCCATATCCACACCAGCAGACTGCAGTGAGGTTGCACCACACCTTCTGCTCAAACCTTATCTCAGAAGATCACAGCAGTGCTACCACCTTGGCAACTTCATCCTCCTGGCTGTTGCTTCCCTGTGATAATTCATAGAATCTCAGAATCACAAAGGTCAAAAAGACCACTAAGATCATGCAGTCCAACCATCAGCCCATCCCCACCATGCCCACTGAGCAGGTCCCTCAACCCACAGATACGGAAGGCGACATGCTTAGCAGACAATGAATGACAGTGGGCTCTTTGGTTGGTGTTGCTGAAAACACTACAGGCAGCACAGGGAAATGCAAGGTGCTAGAAAACTGTAATCCTAGTTACATTTCCATCTCACTCTTGTTTCCGTGCATTAGGTATCGTTTAGCTCCTGAGCACAAATACCCTGCTGCATATGAAGACTGCCTTCATGCTTCCATACACTTCATGAGGAATGCAGAGCACTATGGGGTGGATCCTGCCCAGATCAGTGTCTGTGGGGACAGTGCTGGGGGCAATCTAGCTGCTGCTGTTAGCCAGACCCTGGCAGGCAGAGCAGACCTCCCCAGGCTGCGTGCTCAGATCCTGATCTACCCAGGCCTTCAGGCAGTGGACATGGATTTACCCTCCTACCAGCAAAATCGGGGAGTCCCTCTCTTACTCCGAGAACGCGCTGCTTTCTTTGCTTTGCTGTACCTACATGGGGATGCATCACACAAGCAAGATGTCCTGAAGGGCTCTCATGTTCCTCCGGAAATGAGACAGAAGTACAAAAAGTGGGTGAGCCCAAACAACATCCCTGAGAGGTTTAAGGCAAGAGGATACAACCCACAGAAAACTCATGACGTCGCAGCCGAAATTTTTAAGAAATTTGAAAGAATTTGTGAGCCCAACCTGTGCCCCCTGCTAGCTGAAGATGCTGTAATTCAGCAGCTGCCCGAGACCTTCATCTTAACTTGTGAGTATGATGTACTAAGAGATGATGGCTTGCTGTACAAGAAGAGGCTGGAGGACAACGGAGTCCCAGTGACCTGGTGCCACCTCGAGGATGGGTTCCATGCAATAATAAGCCTGTATGAGTATGGTGGGTTGTCGTTCCCATCTGGGAAAAGGGGATTGGACAGAGTTGTTCAATTCATAAAAGGCCTTTAGAAGAAGCTTTCCTTGGTTATGTTTCAGCATCTCAGAAATTAGCGGATGCTCCCAAAGCTTGGATGGTAATTGTCAGCAACAAAGTGATACCCCTCTATGTGTACAGTATCAATTTTGAACTTGTAGAACTTCAAATGCAATAATCTGAACAGTGATCACTGTCATTGCGAGACTGTTGACAGGTTAGCCTTTCCAGTGTTGCTTTTCAGTCCCTTTTCCATCAAACCAGCACCTGATTGATTCCTTAGATTTAATTAAATGATGATTTGCTTCCATGTCAGCATTGTCAATGGAATAATTGGGATTTAATAATTCCTGTGGATTACAGTCAGGATCTTTGTGATGTTCATTTGGCAAGCTTGCCTTTATTTTATTTAGATAACAAGTGCATGCCATGTATATAGTGAATGGAGGGAGGAGTTAGAAGGAAGCTGCAGAACAAAAATGGAGGAGATGAGGGTTTTAGCAAAGAGATTTGGCCTTCAGGGGCATGGCAGAATCACATCTGCAAGAAGAGCTGCAGCAGAAGACCCGTGTCAATTTGGGACACCTCCCTGAGGCAAGCAAAGGCTGCCTTACTATGAAATAACCACGTCTCTATCAACTCCTACTTAATTTTGGGTGTCTCCGGTATGCCCTCTGGAGCTCGGGGCAAGATATTGATTGAGAGGGAACCTTTGTAAGGTATGAGACAGTAATGACAGAATGGGGCTCCTAGTTGGCCTCACTCATCTTTATTGCACTCTGCTGTACTCCTTCTAAGGGAGATCCCTGCCTTTTTTGAACCGGGGAGACTGGAATTGGATGCAGTATTTCACATATGGTCCTCCCATGGCAGAGCAGAGGGGGAGGAGGATCATCTTCTTCGCCCTGCTGGCCATTGCACAGAGCAATGCACCCCAGGCTTGAATATTAAAAAAGAAAAAAGAAAAAAAAAAAAAGAAAAAAAAAGAAAACCCTACAAGAAAAGAAAACGCTAAGAAAAAAAGAAAACCCTAAGAAAAAAAAGAAAAACAAATCCTAAGACTGAGAAAACAGGAGATTTTTGCAGAATAAACGCTACACTTCGGATTTCCCTGGGGATACAGCGAGGCGGTGGTTTTTCTCCAGCAGTCAGGACCGCCGGGCAATGACACGCAATGACACAACCGCTCGCTCTGCCTCCCGAAGATCCTCCGTCCCCGCGCACAGCTCCGTCCCTCCCGCAGGACGCCGCTCCAGGCGCCGCCGGCCGCCCCGCGGACCCCGAGCATCCTCACGCCCGGGTCACGCCGCGCCTCCCCTCCGGCAGATTACGGCCTCCCCCCGGGCTCGCAGCATGACCCCGGGCCGCGGCTTTGCGGAGCTGTCACAAACGACCCGTGACGCCGTCGGCCTGCAGGAGGGGGGCGGCCGCAGCCTGGCCCCGCTGCGGGCCGGGGAGCCCCGCGGGGCGGCCGGCGGGCCATGGCGGTGCCGGCGGCGGTGCTGCTGCTGCTGCTGCTGCTCGCTCTGCTCGTGCCCCTGGCGGGGCTGGTGCTGGGCACCGTGCTGCTCGGACTGCCCAGCTACGACATCCCGGCCGGGGTGAACCAGCCTGCCAAGCTGCGCCTGGTGCTGGCCGTCCTGCTGGGCACGGCGGCCCTGGTGAGTGGGGCGGGTCGGTGGGTCGCGAGCCGGGAGGACGCGGGGATCGGGGCCGTCGGGGCGACGCTCGGGGCTGCGGAGGACGGGGAAGGCCGGCATCCGTTAGGGCAAAGCCGGTGTCGCGATGCGGGGCGGCACGCCGGGCTCGCAGGCAGGTTGGCGAAGGGCGGCGACGATGCGAGTCGCGGAGCTGAGCCGGCGATTCGTTGCTAAGTGCGCCGGGCTGGGGGCGAAGCCACCTTGCCCAAGGAACGGCCCTGCAACTTGCTCCTGCCACCGCTGACATTTATGGGACCAAATCCGGTTAGGGCTGCTTTACTTAATCCCTGGACTCACTTTTACAGCGTTGCATAAACGGCATTAGAGCTCTGCTCAACTCTTCCTCTCGCACTTTACAGCTCCTTTGAGTTGTTCAAAAATCTCCTCCGCTCCTTTCGCCACAGCGTTCCCTTTGCTGACTGCGCACATCCCGCCCTCCTGCAGCTCCTTACACCACATCCATCCGCTCACAACGGGCCCTCCTGAGTCCTCCCACAGCGTGGCAAGGGAACGGATAAAGAAACGCCCTCATGAAGCATTTTTAAAGCGGGCATCTCGCTCAGCACGATGCACCACGCTGTGTTTGAACCCCTTCGTGTTGTTCCCACCTTCCCCTCATCCACTCCTTGCAGCAGGTTTATATTCCAGCCCAGCGCATTGCAGGAGCATTAGGAAGGGATGCATGCTTCTGTTCATTGCTATTGTGCAAATAAAACCAATAAAACTTGCACGATGCCTCTCAGCATTAAGCATTTACGAATCCACCAAGCTTTATTCAAGAGTACTGGTTTGTGCAATGAAGAGCTTTGTAAGAGTTTATGAGGATGTTTCTGTGTATTTAATTTAATTGCTCTGATTAAGTGTAAATAGACCAGAATGAGCACTGAGGTGTGCTGGGCAAGACTGATGATTAAAATACATACTCCAGGATTGCCAATTTGGATAGCCTTTATAAAATGTGCAATGTGACACGAGTACGACGGTGGATTTAAGTAAAGGAAGTAGGATTTTTCCTCACTGTAGGAAGTGAGAGCTTGGGAAATCTGTTTTTCCTGAATGAAAGAGCTTTATTTTTATCAGACAACTGATAAACTCTCCAACTGCCGTCTGTGAAGCCTGGACTTCCACATCTGATTCTTTAGAATACGATCTGGAAGATTCCAGATGATTTAAGGTAGAACTTCCCTCCTTGGTAGGCCGAATCCAGGTATGGATATGATTGCTTTTTGACTTTATCCTGAGATCTCACACTTTCTTGGAAGTGAGCATTCTTATCAAGAAAACCAATCCAATACTTGAAGGCAGAGTGTAAGCAGGAAGGGGAATGGCTGTTTATGAGAGCGGATGGTGATGGGACAAGGGGGAATGGTCTTAAAGTGAGACAGGGGAGGTTTAGGTTGGATATGAGGAGGTTTTTCCCCCAGAGGGTGGTGAGGCACTGGCACAGGTTGCCCAAGGAGGCTGTGGATGCCCCATCCCTGCAGGCATTCAAGGCCAGGCTGGATGTGGCTCTGGGCAGCCTGGGCTGCTGGTTGGTGACCTGCACACAGCAGGGGGTTGGAACTGGATGAGCACTGTGCTCCTTTGCAACGCAGGCCATTCTGTGATTCTATGATTCTATGAGTTGCCAAGTTGCATTTCCTCATTGTTTTCCACGTGTTTGTGAAGGCAAAAAAATGACTAAACAACCAATGAGAATGAACTAAATCTGTGGAATACAAGAAGCCATTTAGAGACAGTGTAGGAGATGCTTTCATAGCCATTATCTTCTTCTCTCAGTGGTCTTCATGGTAGTTATTCTGACTTCTTATACTGTGATCATTACCGTTTTTTATAGAACACCAATGGGTGATGTGGAGCTTTTTATATGTTGACTTTTAAAAAGGCCTCAATTCTTAACTTTGAACAGGGAAGGATTTTGGAGAAGACAGGACTTTGCAGCCAAATCACTTTTGGCCGATACGTGCGACAAGGATGGAGGCAGAGGGTGGACCCGAAGCTGTTCATCCAGGATCTGCAGTTTAACAAAGTACCTGTGAGGGTGTACCAGCCAAAGGCCACATCTCATGGGCGAAGGAGAGGTATCCTCTTCTTCCATGGAGGAGGATGGGTGTTTGGAAGTCTCGGTAAGACATTTGCTGGAGGAATTGTAGTAACTTAAATATAACATTTTCATGTTTTCATTGTATTGAAAGAAGAGGAACTTTCAGCATGGGATTTTGGAGAAAGTATGAAGTCAAATAAACACCTTCCTAGAAATGAACACCCCTTCCATGTCTCAAAGACAAAGCACTAATGAAAGCCTTTCTTTTCCAGATACCTATGAAAAAGTGTGCCGCTACTTATCCAGAGAAAGTGAATCCGTAGTTGTATCCGTTCAGTAAGTCAACCCGAACCAGTCCTACTGCTCAGATTATTGCTGCTGGGGTGCCACACAGAGCTGCACTGTTTCTCGAGATGTTATTTTTTACAGAGAAATTTCTGAAGAATTCAGCATAGGAAAAGAGACAAATAATGACAGCTATGATTTCCCAGTGCGTAGCTGTTAATGCACTGATACACCAGGAAGGAGATACATGGCACACAAAGGAAATCTAATTTAAAACTTAGGTAGAACAAATCTTCTTTGTGCTGAACATGTGAACATGTAACAAGATGCTCCAAATGTTTGTAATTTATACAAGAAAGAGAATAATCATGCTGTGTTACTCCCATTTTACACATAGGAAATAGAGGCAAAAAATCATTAAATTATCTTGTCATGAATACGTAGCACAATGAAGAAATTAATTAAAAAAGCTCATTGTTTCTTAACAATTCTTGTAGTTGAACGCACAAATTACGTGTTATCTGCAACCACTAGCTGGGAAATGCCTGCTCAGGAGGTAATGAATTGGTTTGAAGGTTGTGTAGGATAAAACTCCCTATTAACACTAATGATATTTCCTTTTCCTGTACTTGTCTGTTATGCATTAGGTATCGTTTAGCTCCTGAGCACAAATACCCTGCTGCATATGAAGATTGTCTTAATGCTACTGTACACTTCATGCAGAGTACAGAGCACTATGGGGTGGATCCTGCCCAGATCAGTGTCTGTGGGGACAGTGCTGGGGGCAACCTAGCAGCTGCTGTTAGCCAGACCCTGGCAGGCAGAGCAGACCTCCCCAGGCTGCGTGCTCAGATCCTGATCTACCCAGGCCTTCAGGCACTGGACTTCAATTTGCCATCCTATCATCAGAATCGGGGAGTTCCTCTCTTATTCCGGGAACGCGCTGCTTTCTTCGCTTTGCAGTACTTAAACGGGGATGCATCGCATATGCAGGAGGTCCTGAAGG